TTAGTGCCAAAAGATCCAACATAGATGCGGTCACAGAACACATACAAAGAGATAAGTGGCTGTCATCCTGATTGACGTCAAGAATGCCTTTAACACGACATCAAATAGTACATACAAGTAATCCCAGGACGTGATAAAGCTGAATGTAATTGATACAATTTGTTTGTATTATTTATATTATTGCATATTCTTGATAGTGCATCAGATTTACCATTAGCCTTTCATGGGCGATAAATAATATCATATTTAAAACAAGAAAGCTCCAAATGCTAACATATATTTTTTCATTTTTGATTTTACTTGTACGGTTTGTATTAATCATGAATAAAACTGATTTTTGATCTGTGATTAGTTTGAATTGCCTTCCTATCAGTCCATTTGTTTGATGATTCAACACCAGATTATCCTTCTTTTTCAATTGCAGAATGTTTTAGTTCAGAATCTGTGAGGATTTGTAAGAAAAAAGCAATGGGTCTTCCAGATTGACTAAGTGTGGCAGCAATAGCCTACTCAGATGCACCTATTTCAATGAGAATTTCTTTTTCATCAATTGTCCATAGAATTGTATTAGCTAATCAGTTCTCAACTCTTCAAAAGCAAAAAACAAATCTAGACCTAATGGATATTTCTTGCAATCTATAAGACCTCTAAGTTTTTATGAAAAATTATTAACCCATTTTGAGTAATGTGAAAACATTCCAAGTGCCCTTTGAAGACTTTAAGTATAATTAGGAACTGATAAATTTAGTAGAGGCTTTTCTGTTTGAATCAGGTTACATTGTACAGTTTTCTATTATACATAACTATATATATATATATATATATATATATATATATATATATATATATATATATATATATATATATATATATATTTTTAATTGTAGTGACAATTATTATTTTGATTTAAAGTTCCTTAGATCCTAAAGATCCTAAAGTTCAAAAAAAACCCATAGTTCATTTTCAACTTTCACTTTTGCTGTTTGTTTCCAATAGAGGTTACAGATTCTACAGTATATGCTTTTATTTAATAAAATTTCTTTAAGCCGATTATGCTGCATTCTGTCAAATTCCTTCTCAAAATCAATGAAACGCATATACTTGATTACTACTATAACCTGATTAATATCTAAGCATATCTGCGAAAGAACACTTCCTGCTAACAGTGCATCTTGTGTTCCCAGTCCTTTCCTAAATCCCATGTGTGTATTACTTATGCCTTCATCTAATTTCTTATGTATTCTATTGTGAATTACTTTTAAAAACAATTTCAAGACATGACTCATTAAGGCTATGGTGAGATGTTCATTGCACTCCTTTGCATTGGCTTTTTTGGGAATAGTATAAATGTTGATTGACGCCATTCTTTAGGTATTATACCTGTTCTATATATGGTATTGAATAGATCCAAAAGAAGACCAATAGATTCAGTATTCACAATTTTGAGTAATTTGACAGGAACTTCATCAGGCCCGGGAGATTTACCACCTTTAGCTTGTTTCATTGCATATTCAATTTCTTCTCGTATAATGTCAGGCCCAGTATCATCCTTAAATTCTTTTGGTGGTTCTGTTCTCTCTTTGTCTTAAAAAAGTTGTGCTATATATTGTGTTTGCATCTCTGCATCTCTCCATCTCTGCATTTTTTGGTTTATATCTGTTGTAAGTGTACCACTTTCATCTGTTTTTCTCATTCCTGTTAATTCTCTAATTCTTTTATGCATGTTAAAAAAGTCATACTTATTTTTCCTCAATTTAGGTCATCTAAACAAGCATAAATACCTTGTAGATTTTCTTTTTTAATGTAATAATAGAAGCAATGGCTCTATGAAAACATGATACTCCATTGGTAACTCCAAAAGGAATAAGATGGAATTGGTATAGGCATCCATTTGCCTCAAAATCTGTAAATGGTTTGTCAGATTCCTGAATTTGTATTTGATGATACATGAATTTTAAATCAATTGAGCCAAAAATTTTATATTTTGATATCTTTGACACTAGTGAATCAATATTCGGCAAAGGATAAGCATTAAGTAATGTAAGTCTTTTTATTGTTTGAGAGTAATCAACTACCATGCAGCATTTATGATTTTAGTTTTCAGTTAGCAAAACTTGGGATCTCCAAGGTGATTTACTCTCTTCAATGATTTCTTCTTTAAAGACATGTTTTATTTCTTGTTTAATACATTCTTCATCTTCCTGTTAATGTCTGTGAGATTTAATAGCAATAGTGTGACAATTTTCTGTTAAATTAGCAAACAACGAAGGTGACTTAACTGTAGCCCCAGCAAGACAACTTTCTTGCTCCTCCAAATTTAACTTCTACACTTTCATATAATATCTTGATCCAAAATCACATCTCTGTACACAGATTGGATAAAACTAAAGCTTTTGTTTGATCATATTTTTCTTTATCAATCTGAATATTTATTAAACAATAGCCTTGAATATTTGCTGAGTATGACATAAATACCATAGAAACTTTCCTTGAAGTTGAAAAAATTTTAAGTTATTTTTAATAGCGAGTTCATGATCTAAAGAGGATCTGAGCTTCCAGTGTCTATTAAGGCTTTGGCATTATTTAGTTGACTGTTACTTTGGGTACACATTTTGAAAACAATTTAGGTGTTTTACATTGAAGAAGCGATTACAATATATAGAAGCAGGAATTGATTTTGTTTGAATTTTCTTTGATTGCATGCACATTTTAGCCCATTGTCCAATGTTACAACAGTTTTGGCAAGTCACAGTGCTTGCTTGACATAAAGATTGAGGATGTCTTGGATGTCCACAAAAATAACAAGCCTGACCAGGTTTTTTTAATTGTATACCTTTTATACAGGATTTTTTATTAGAAGCTAAAGTAGTTTGTTCTAAATTTTAATGAGAATCTTCTAAAGATCTAGATTTAGATAGTGTGTCATCCAAAGACAAAGAACTCAAGTAATCTTTGAAGTATTTAGATTAAATGAGACCATTAATTAGTCGAATATAGTCATTTTTATTTTCTTATGAAGAAACTACTTTAAAATTATCATTTTTTGACAAAAGCTATAGATTTGTTTATTTGTTGTTTTCTTGTAGTTAAAATATGTTTTGTGTACTTAAATATCATTTGTAGGTTTAACATATAATTTTTCCAAAATTTTGATAGCAGAAATGTATGGTTTTGCTTAGCTTATGAAATCATAGACTATATGCTAGACAAACTTTATTAAAAGCATGACCTTATCTGTATCTCCTAGTGATTTATCTTTAGATTTATTGCTTTCCAAAAAATTCGTAAATGTTTCATACCAATGTTTGAATTCTTTGGTGGCAGTTTGAGAATTCGGATCAGCCTCTAGTTTATCTGGTCTAAAGTACTTCTCCATTATATATTTATGCGAATAACATTGTAGTAAAATACCTTTTTGCAGAATTAGGCTTTTATTTGCATAAAACTTGACATTAGAATAACCAAAAAATTATTTGAATACTGACAACTATCACAACATCAAGAACACTGTCACAACATTAAAATTAAATGCTAAATTATACTATATTTATTTGTAGTATAATTTACTTGACTAGAATCTAGAAGATTAATGTATGATGTATGTTTTATATTCAAATTAATTCGAGGTCATTTACCTGTCCTGATCTTTTACATGACGTTAAAATGTGTGGACGTTCCAGACAACTTAGAAATACAAATACATTCTACACTACACAAATGATGGTAAAAATGTGCTAATGGACAAAATATTGCACTACATCAATACAAATCCATGCATTGACATCTTTAACATAATTATATAGCAAACTGAAAGAAACAGTTTCTGATATCAGAAAGTACATTTATTATTTATTATTATCTTTTATTTTGTTAATTATCACATTGGATATTATTTTTGGTTTCATGTTTCATGAGCTCTTTAATTTATGTAATATATACAATGGGGGTTTCCTGTCAAATATATAAATAAATAAATAATATGGACAGTAGATGTGTCCTTGAAAGAGTTAAGAATTAAGTTTATTACGTTTTGCCTGAATAAACTTCACATTAGAATTCTAAATAACCAGAAATAATGCTTTGGAATTGCTGCATATAAAATCTTGTGATGAGTATCAATCAGCCCCTATGAGGTCTCAATATTTACCTTTTGACTGACATTCACAATAAAATGGTAATCTTCAGATACCTGCTAAATATTAGACCCACAAAACGAAGTATGTGAAGTACACTAGAAGAGTGTGGCCAGCACATAAACAAGGTATGCCAAAACACTGGGGCTGCATTACTGACAGTCAATAAGTTAATATATCATCAAAACTCCTCATTGTTTATTCACTTTAAAAGATCCCTAATAAAGAAACAAGGAACAAAGGCTGTAGGAGTCAAAAAGTAATATTGTGACATTTATCAAAACAATTGTCAAATCACTCTGGAATTTACTTTTATAGATATATATTAAATATTGTATTCCAGAAAAGATCCCAAAGTTTTATAATTTACTGACATCTCTCACAAGACAATTTACTTTTACCTCAGGATCATTTAAGGAGTAACTAACAGAGATTTTAAAAACAACCAGCAAAATGAAAAATTCCACTGATTAAAGATTAATCTTATGTTTTATTCATGTCAGTTCATTTATAGTTTCAGTTCAGTTCATATTATGTAAAGAAACTATCTTCTTATAAGATTGTGATACTAAAATTTACTTGTATTTGTAGATATTTTGTCTTTGTAGACGTTTTATAAACTTGGGGATAAAATTAAATAACAAAATATTAACGAGGAACTAAAAGAAATCATTATGATTATCTATTATTTAAATATCAAGAACATTAACCATACTATCAACTTTGGAAATATAAACAATCCCTAGATGTACATTAACCCCAACTACAACTAGTATAGATAAGGTTTATATTATAAACACTAACAAAATATACAGAATTTTAGTTTTAGTGTTTAAATGTTTGATTTAAAAAGAATCTGAAACTTACCTATTATTCGGGGCACAGTATTTGTGTTACCAGAAGCTATCGTAGTATTTTTCTTTCTGCGTTTAGCTTGTTGTCGTAGTGCATGTTTAATTGTTTTCCTGCTATTAATACTAGTTATGGTAGGATCTGCAGAAGTGACGTTATTATTGCTTAGATTTTGTTGATTGGCACTTGAATTTTCGGCATTTTCTTCCTCGCTTTGACTTGAGTTACCCGTATTATTTTCTGAAATACCATCTGGAGTAACGTCTATTTCCATTACGTAAATAACTACAATACATCAACGCGTTTTCTAGTTTTGTTTTCTTAAAAATTCACAACACACAACAAAGCTTTTACTATTTCCATGGGTAATTCACCCCATGTTAAAATAGCTTTTGAATATTTTACACTTCAAAAAAATCGATATATTACGTATTATAAAATAACAAAACATCAAGACGAAGTTATCGGTCCTTTTAACGCGATTTTAATTCACGAAACTACTTGTCAAATACAATGCTATCCGCCATTTCATAACTGGGCCTTTTATAAACAGGGAAATGTTTTGCTAACAAAACTGACTGAGCCCTACATTACCAGTAGCCCATTTTTGCAACCTTTCAACTGTCAAATGGCTAAGGCAAATTCGATTTTTCAAATATAAAGTTGTGAAAACTACTTTCAACAACACAACGAATGGAATCATGAATATTTTCCTGTTTGATTAGAAGTTTCTGTAAGTTATGTATTATAGCGGCATTGTTAAATAAAGTTATATTAAATTTATTCCTATTTAAAAAATATAACCAAAATAACCGACTGTAATAAAACTGACAACTAAACAATGTCAATAAGCAGGCTCACCAACGTATAAACTGAAATACACCAAAAAGTTTTAGTGACGTTGCCAATTTTGTTATTTTTCAAAGAATTATGTTATTAGATAGGAAATACTATTTTTCAAATAATAAATAGATCATTCCAAAATACATACAGTTAAGTAGAAGAAAATAATTTCATTTTTAAAGAATTACAATTAAATCTAATTAATTGCTAGTATGTACTCTTAAAGATATAACTTGATATTATTTAAATAGGATTATAATAGGGATAATGTAAACGTCAATGACCTGACAACGATGATCTCTGTGCGTTGTTGTCAATACTATGCATTCTAAAAACATTTGACATTAATTTTTTGACAGATTTTCGTATTTCAAAGAAAACTACTCATGCTTTAATATCTTATGAGAACACGAAACGTTTTTCTCTCTGTTATGTTTGTTTCGAACTATAAATACAATGAGTCTGAATTGTTTTGGTGATTTCTGGAGTTAAACTTAAATATTTCCGTAAAAACAATGCCGGCTGTTTCTCTGAAAGGCGTAGACTAAACATTAGTGGGTGTGCGATATATGTATTCGTTATTATCTACTATCGCAGATTATAGTAGAAACTACCATCTAGCTTATCGTTATCATTGTGGACATAGGCTGTTGATAATATGTCGTAAATTGTTCTTAGATTATTTAATGCGCCAATATTGAAACAACACTACTTCGTTGGCTAAGAAAATGTGTAAATCATCAGCATTTAAGATCAACAAAATTATACAGTGCCTGAAAAACAGTTGAGGATTAATAAACCCATTCCAAAATGGGAAATAAAAATAGTTGTTGCTCTTACTCTAGTCCACAGAGTAGTCATAGAGAAAGAGTATTCATTCCTATAGAAGAGACTTTACATGAAGGTGAAATTAGTACAAGCAATTTACAGCATATCAGTGAACGAGAGACTGATGATGGAGAGCTTGACCCATCCCAGGATCCAATGGCAAAGACCATTTTCATTGAGAGGTATTTATTTACATTTTTTTTTTAAATAAGTATGTATTGAGAGTTACTAATTTTGTTTATTCTTTTTCTTGCTATCTTATTTTAAAATTAAAATAGTATGTGTAGTTTAAACAGAATAACCTTATTACCTTATTATAAATACAGGTTTAACATAATAATTAAATAATTTAAAGCAGGATAATCTTCATTCATATTCTTTTTATACTTGTTACTATATATTATTTATAGAAAGTGGATAACTATTGTGTATTCATACTGAATCATTCATATGGTGTAAACAGTGTGAAAAAGTACCAGTACTACCAGTTTTTAACAGACAGCTTTTACTAAATATCTTTGTGATTTTGTAGAAAGATCTTCCTTTTGTTTTTGTTATGATGCATTTGATTGTAACAAAATAGTTACATCCTACTTACAACTCTTCTGTGCTTTGTTTCCATCTTGTTTACTTTGGTGGTTATACTGTAACCCTAATATAATCTGTAATAGGTTCTAAAGAGAAACAATTAAATAGTAATAGTTAACTGCCAATTAAGAAAGTTAATAGTCGCCCAATTGAGAATTGGGGGATGTAGTACATGTTCTGAAATCCCTGTAATATTTTATTACATTTAAAGTTATGTGATTTCTATTTATATATTATATGATTATTTTGACATTTAACATATGATTTGCATTTGTTTACATAGAGCATCTTGGATTTTTTAGGCTATATCTTTTATATAAAATTTATTCCTTTTGTTATAACTATTTTAAAAAGATAGGTTCCTATTTGCAGACTAAACTAAATTTGTGTTATTAGTCAAATTTTATTTTCAATTTTATGAAAAGTGACAATGTTATTTCTATTGTAGAAAGTTGGATTTCCTTGCATTGCTCAGTGTAAAGCCACTGAGCATTGCATTGTATTTCTGCAGTGTAAAGTGGCTTTAAGAAAATATTAAGAGTGAAACTATGTGCAAGGTACAATTAATTTTAAAAAATAAAAGGTGATGCATTTGATTATTTATTTTGAAATCTTCTGATTATTGTCCTTTTATCTGAAATCATTCTGCTGCTTCATATTCACACATTAGGGTGGTTGAAATTGCTGCAAAAGATTCAAATGGATTACATGAAGTTCAAACCCAATGTGTGTTTGAGCATGTTTTGAACAGGTTTAGTAGATGATCTATGGATCAAGTGAACCAAACCAATCCATAATGTTACTACTTATTCAATACTTATTGCTATATAGATACTTCAAACTTGTAAAGTTTTTAAAATGTTTAACTTGTAAATGTTTAGCATTCAATTTTTTCAATAGGATATTTGTTGTGTAGATATGTAAATATATAGGAGTATGAAGTGTATATTATTAGTAAACACATCAGGTCTTTATATAGCAATCTTCTCTAATATTTCAGTGAAAAAAGTTCAGGTAACCTGGTCCAGGTCTAGTGTTAGGGTTTTCAGATTGCTCAAGTATCTGTACATATTGGTGTGTTGTCAAGATAGAGCTAGAATTAGGTATCCATATAGAGTGAATTTCTATTTGTTTGTCTGGTTACTTGTGCTGAGAGATCTTAAACTTTGAATTTATCAATATTCAAACATTTCTTCTGTCATGTTTAAAAATGTCCATGGTTGAAAGCCACATTTATTAGCAAGTAAAATAGACTTATTAATGATCATTGCTTTAAGGTAAGAGTATCTTCTAATATTTAGTACACTCATATATGTGAAAACTGCAAATTTAAAACTGCAGCTTATGCTTATTATCCATTATCCATTAACTGTTATATATGTCCTCTGGTCTTCTGCATCATTCTATAATTTGATGCTGATATACCCAGAACTTTTACATCAAGATGATATGAAATATTTCAGTAGCAACAGAAAGTTCTGCAGAAGATTAACCTGTAGAAATTTGTTTGTAGTCTCCCTGCTTGTTACTCCAGCACATTCATCAAATCTTGAGCAGCAGTTTTTGTCAAAACACAAGTTTGTACAATTCCTCCAGTCTCCACACAGTACCAACAAAGCACAAGAAAATTTTTGTTGTGTTTCCAAAAATGTTGCTTAAAGGCAACATTTTGAGAACACAGATAGAGTTCAAACAAATACAATAAGACACTAAAGGCCATTATAAAAAAAACGGAATTTCAGACCTGCATTCTCATCTATCATTTTTTACTTCTACTAGAAATTTTTTTACTTATATCAATTTGTCATATTTGTTGATGTTTTAAGGATTTCAAACTTTTATGGCCCAAATATACTAATTCTTATATTAAAATTTATTTTGTTCCTTTTTAATGTGGAATATAAACTAACAAGTCTGATGAGAACTAACTATATATAGGTAATTGTCACATCATAACAAAGAAATATCATATTTGCCAAAAAGGCAATGAAATTCACAATTGACTAATCTCGTAATTGAGGATGTGTTGATGTCAAGTTAGCATAGACTGTGGATAAAGAAAATTTGGCATTATCATAGCAACAAAGAATAACTTATTGGAGGTGTCAGTATAAAGTTTCACTGTTCTGAAGCTATTTTCTTGTGTCATCTTAATACAATTTTCTATTTTTATTGGGAATAAGCCACGATTTTACTTTAAAATAAGTTTTTTGATGTTTCAATTTCCACTTCGGAAATTGTTCTCAAAATACAAAACATTAATAAATTAAATCAATATATATTTTTTTAATTGGTAAACAAATCCTTCTAATAAGTTAATTTTATCGGACCATATTGACAATTCAGACATATATTATATATACATTTTAAAGTAGATGACTTTAAAATGATGTCAATATTTTTGAGTTATGTTCCTTGGGTGACTTTATCGCATATATTGCAATACCTGTCTGAAGAATCATAGCATGTGATTTGTATTTAAATAGATAACCACATGTAATGATAACAGTAAAATTCTCCTGTTAGTGATCCCACAGTAAATCATGAAGAAAAAACCAGGAAAAAAACCTCATGATACTATCCGGACATGATAAGTGGGCCCTCACACACTAGGCAGCTGACACATATGAGCGGCCATTTACAGCAGCCAATGGACGGCAAGTTGTGTCCCTATAAAGCGATATGGATGTGGAAGAGACCATAATTATTTTCCGTTCGTCTTGTAAAAATCACAAAATAAAGGAAAGGCTTTTAAATCACCCTCACAAATTATATTGGTTATTTTTCCATCCTCGTTGTTTCCCTTTCCAAAGTGGAAATCGAAATGTCACAATAGACTTATTTTAAAGTAAAATTGAGGCTTAAAAATAGTAAATTGTGTTAAGTTTAATGTCTTGAAGTCAAACAGAATTGTGATTAAATTGAAAAATTCAGATATTAAGCCGTCAACAAGTACCTATATTTGAAAGCGTTAAGAGGTAAGCAGATTTACGAAGATTGCTTAATACTCTTGGCTATCAATGTCCTTCATATGCGACCATGAAAACTTGGATTACAAGCTTCAAAAGTATTTAATTTCGCGTTGAACATTATTGAAATATTTAAGACCGAATTAGGAATCCATTATATAGTTCACATCGATTTGGAAATGAGAAAATTGTCTGAATGTTGACCAGAAGTGTGTAAAGGTAGACATATCGTGTTCAATCTGTGCTCAGTTTCAAAAAGATGCAGCAAACATCTTAAACCATGTTACGGAAAAAAGTACATTTCTAAGATTCAGGGGAATACGGAATAAGGAAACGATATGGGAATTAGTACCCAACATTACTGAACACTAATTTTAGTTTACTCAGATGTATTTTTTAACAAAAATAAAAGTGATATTTTAGTACTTTTTATATCTACTTTGATTATAAATTATCCTTAGCACGGTAGTATTTGTTTCAGAAAAAATTATTAAACAAGTAGGTGAAAGAAATTTACATTAAATAACATTATATATATAGTCCCAAGATTCCTAAGAGGAACATAGGGCTTTCACAAAGTGTCTCCAGCGAACTCTATTTCTGGCTAGTGCTTTGATTTCAAGCCAGGATTTTCCCATTTTTCTCCCTTCGTCCAGTACTGTCCTTCTCCAAGTTCCCTTAGGTTTGCCTACTTTCCGTCGGCCTTGGGGATTCCAATCCAGCGCTGTCCTGGCAATGTCATTTGGCGGTCTACGGAGTGTGTGGCCCAGCCATCTCCATTTTCTTCGCCTTATTTGCTTTATGACATTTTCTTGGTTGCTTTGGTTCCATAAATTTTCATTGGAGATTCGGTTAGGCCAAAATATACGAAGGATTTTTCGTAACGCTCTATTGATGAAAACTTGTAATTCGTGTACTATGGGTGCTGATATCTTCCACGTTTCGCAGCCATACAGTAATACAGCTTTTACATTTGTGTTGAAGATTTTTAATTTCGTTTTAGTTGGGTAAGTCCTGGATTTCCATATGTTGTTAAGCATGTTGTAGGCATTGCGAGCCTTATTTATTCTTTCATGTACATCACGCTCTGTACCCCCATTACAGTCAATTATGCTGCCCAGATATACAAATTCCGCTACTCTCTCAATTTTCTGGTCGTTGATCATAATAGGTTGGTTGTTTCTGGTACCAAATCGCATTTCTTTGGTTTTGTTGATGTTTATTTCTAGACCAACCTTCTTTGATTCTTCTTGTGCTTTGTTTACTTGGAGTTGCATGTCCTCAACATTGGTTCTACACTGTTTGTTAGTCGGTTGTTTATAATTATTGCTGTTAATTTATTTATAGTATTCAGAAGTGTGATTCCTCTCCAGTTTTCGCAATATCTTCTGTCACCCTTTTTTGGTATCTTTATTATTAATCCTGTTTTCCATTCTTTGGGGAACTTTTCCTCTCTCCAAGCCCTTTTCAAGAGTGGTTGGTACCTGGCAAGCTTTTAACAACTCTGGTGGAATATTGTCAGGGCCGGCTGCTTTGTGTGCTTTCAGTTTTTCTATGGCCATTTCTATTTCTTGCGTTGTTGGTTCGTTGGTGTTAATTCTCAGTTGGATATTGGGTATTAGGTT